TAATGCTGCTCTAAAAACGGCTGGACGAAGGTCTTGTGCCAAGGAGAATCACCCTCTTCCCAACGTTTTGCCCAGTATTCAACTTTCTCCACATCCGCCATGTTGAATCTTAYGTAATCCAATGCTACAAAGGAAACCCGCGCCACAACTTCCCCAGTGCCAGGCCAGTGCGAGGGCTTCTTCTTTTTATTAGAAGAAAAGAAAAAGTAGAAGAGAAGAATACACGTGAATTGTAAAATCGATATTTTTAGATACTGGACAGAAATCTTTATAATATTGTACTTCTAACAAAAGTGTCAGGCTCTCTAGGAGAAAAAAAAAGGAGGAAAAAAAGGAGGGGAAAGCGSAAAGCCTTCATTTTCCCCTTCTACCTCTCCTAAGGACCCCTGAAAGACCTGATACTCAGGTTAGGTTTTTGTAATGATATACTGGTAAAGTCCTACATGGTCAATTAATAAAAAAATTAGACCATGAGGTTCAAATGGAATATGAGTTCACTGATTGGACTATGGACTCATAGTTATGAGGCCGAGTCAGCTCAAATTGTATCTACCAAACTATGGGGGAAATTTGAAATAAAAAAAATAACAATTTTACTCAATATGTTTTCAACTATTTTTGGTTCATTTCATGCAACTCTTGTCTATARGAAATAGACCATGGTCAAGTAGCCAATCAGAATGCTGAATTTTTGCTAGTTTGGAGCTCATGAAAATAGAACAAAGATGGCAGAGATTTTCACAAATTTTGAAGGTGTCATGCATTTATTTTGTAAAGCCCAGCTGCTAATACCGCTGTCATATGACTAGGATCAAGTGACCTGTCATGAAATTCATAACTCTATGGTTTTAAATTTCAGATTAACAAAGTGTAAAATAATATGTGATGTATGTGTGCATAATATATTATTGTTTTTAGTTGGGCTAGCACAGGCTATATACAGGGTCAGCTACATATCATGTACAAATCAGGCTATATACAGGGTCAGCTACATATCATGTACAAATCAATGCCTTTTACTGTATATTCTTTATTCCCTTTTTTGTTTCTTATATTTTTTAATGGCTGTCTCCCCAAAAAACATCATTTTAGAGACATCAATTTGTAAACACGTTTGCAATTGTCATCATAATGAGGAACATTTTTCACATCAAGTGTAACTATTTCAAACTTTCYGCCAAACAATTCTCCCAGAACTCCAGATGGGATATGAGAAGGATGTCGAATTTTTGTTCCATAACCTTCATCAAAGATATGGGTTTCAACCAAGATACGGCCATTTGGTCTTAGCAAAATAGCTAATAAATCAGCGTATCTTTTACCTCGATTCTCAGTATACAGGCCAATAGCTGAAAGAGAGCCCCTGTCCCATACTGCATCAAAAGAGCCCCCCAATGTATCGGTDGCGACTTTGAACAMATCCACTGRATARATCGTAATGTCCTTGTCAATACCATGATAACACTTTATCTCAGGGTTSTCAGGACTTGGTTTTACTTSAAATGAAATGTTGTTCTCTTGGAAGAAAGCTGCAACAACACTCTCCACTCCCTCGASACCMACAACCTGAAATCCCTTCTCCTCGAGCCAGATCATGTCCAGTGATTTTCCACATAAAGGAACAAATATTCTGGTCTTTGTTGGCTGTYCCGATRATGGTATTAGCTTCTGGTAATGCTGCTCTAAGCATWCATGAAYGYAGGTCWTGTGCCAAGRRGTAAATCCTTCTTCCCAMCATTTTGCCCAATATTCGACATTCTCAACCATGACCGGCTATCGTTACGTAAGTGAATTCTTGCACAGGAAGCCCAAATCAACAACACTTTGTTACGTTAGCCAGAACTCAAAAAAGCAAAACCATTGCCTTGTTAGACCCAAATTAATAAGTTAATCAAATTACAGGTTAGGCAAGCCATACAAMTTGCATGGTTCTTAGAATACATGGCACTTACTAACGTGATTATTTCGCGCTAAAAATGATAATTTCGTTTTAACGCCAAATATGCAAATAGACATTTAGCCTCTAAATGAACTGAATGTCAAACAACAACCTATAAAATTCCTACATTTGTATTAACTATCATTATGTAGTGAATCACTAATTAGATTGTAATCTGATACAACCTGAGGAAATACTTTTATTTGTGCATACGATTTGTACAGGTTTAAAAAATTACAAGTAYAGAGTTTTTGACATCTCTATAAATCAACATTCTTAGATTTACTAATCTCACATTGGTTATAAATATACATCACAATGGTTATTCTGTTTATCTTTTAAAACTAAATGAGCTTACTAGTAATGGATTTTATCAAAATAATACATTAAATACAATGGAACATCAGATTGGTTCACGGACAAGAAGAGCACATCCATCAAGGCTGACAATCTGACATCAAATGAACTTGATGCTTATTTTGACATACTTTCAATTAAAATATCATTATCACAGATGAAAGCCAGACACCAGGAGTGTTTTTAAACTCTATAATCTTTCAAACTGCAGAATATCAACAATAAACTGCTAATGTGAATCCTCAATGCAAAGGGAAGTACMTCGAGGGTTGATATTATGTGACCATCTTATACAGAAAGAAAGAAAATCTATAGCAACTGTATGTTAAGTTAGAGAAGAATTCAATTGGCTGTTATTTCAAAAAAAATCATCTATTGACTGTTACTTCAGACCAAATCAACTAACAAAAAAAAAAGAAGAGTTATCTAACATTTTTTTCTGCAGTATTTTGGTTTGCACTCTAATACAAGGGAGTAGTTAATGGAATATTTTGCTGTGATATTCCTCTGGRCTATAATATGATGTAACCACCACTCTGTTAGCAAACTTTCGCCCTCCAAGGGCATGAGATGCTCGTTTGGTGTCCTCWGTAGATACAAATTCTACATAAATCTGTTGACAAGAATAGAAACTCAGTGAATCAAGATACTCAATCAGTTTAGTTAGTTAATAGACAACCAATCAATTATTAATTTGCTAATTATTAATTTTTATTAATCATTCCTAACATCAATCAAACAATCTTTCAATCAATTCAATAACTTAATCAAACCCTCAAWTGATCTATAAGCATTTGCATACCACTATCAAAATTGTAGAACTAGAAAATTAGTTTTACCTTTCCACATCCTGGAGGTTCGACTCCCTCTACYGGTCTTGGTATCTCCATGCTTACTATGTTACCATATTTACTGCACTCTTCTCTTACATCATCAAAGATTTCTACACAAAAACATGTCATCTTGATGTAAATGAATATTCTAAATAAGATAAGGTGGATTTCTGTGTTTGCTTACCCTCATATTCATCATCATCACACAGTTCATCTACAGTTACCATATTCATAAGTGCCAAGACTTCAGTTGGTTGCTGTCCTGCCTGACTGGCTGCAGTTATATCTAAACCAGGGATCTGGAACTGCGCTGGTAGCATATTGATAGCTGCAGGCTGTAGCAACAAACACACAATTAAACACTCTTTACTGGCTGTCCATTATTGATTAACACAAATTATCAAAGAAGATATTGTGAATTGTACTTACATTATTTATGTTTTGTTTGGCACCAACACTTGCCCTCTGTACAATGAGTTTTTTCTCTCCAAGTTGCATGCCGTTAAGACCATGGATAGCCTGTTAAAATATTACAGAGAAGAGAAAATGAAACCTTGAAACCTGCTCTGTAGATGTACATTATAATCTTATTCATGTACAATCATTCAGCAACTATCACACTTTAGTATAAACATACTAATGGTCTATCACTCATACTGCGCTGTGATTGGCTACTCTACTAATGGTCTAATTTGTGATAGACCACTCGCGGGAAAATCAAAATAAATAAATTGTAAATTATTCTAAGGATATTTCAATTTGTTTTCATTATTTGACCGATTAGTATGTTTATACTAAAACAATTAGACCTCTCGGCCTCGTGGACTACAGTACGCGCTAATAGCCCATTCGGCCTCGCGGACTCGACCTCATGGGCTATTAGCTCGCAGTCCACTTGACCTCGAGGTCTAATTGTTAAAAATACTGATAGATAAATAAGAAAATGTTTAATAGTCTAGGATTGTTGTATTTTGTCATCTAACAACTGAATTTGCATAATGTTATTCTTACCACATCAGTGATACCAATGTCAACATATTCACAGAATGCATAACCCTTGGAAAGACCTGTAGCACTRTCTTTAACCAGGTTGAAGGCTCTTAGATCACCAAACGACGCYAACAGCTCCTTAACCTACACAATTAAAGAACAATGTATCAATTATAATCAAAATCACAAATCGTTAATAACTAATAAATGGTATCATTTAGATCAAGTAATATCAAGTCTTTGTGTATSTCCTTGGAATGATATCCATGGGTCATTTATCTACTTACAAACAGCCAAAAATAAGAATTCTCACACAAAATTTTTATTTATTTTTTAATAAAATATCAAAAGGTCAAGTTGTTTTACTTTAGTGAATGCACAGAGAKAAAGACTTGATTAATACTTTTGATKTAAAACAAGTAATGAAGAGAATTGCGTCAAGTACTRCTGTTAGAGATATTTGGAGCAATTCTATCCATTAGTTTTTTTATGTGTACTGCCCCCTTGCAATGGTACATCAGTTTACCCACATACAACTTGCCTTCAGCCAGTTTTGCTGAACATTTTAAGCCCCCAGTGCTAGCTAGGGATTAGAATGGGGAAGAAAAACACATCCCATGTCAGTAGTCTCTTTATACTATTAACATAAGGGGATACTGGGAGCTATAATAACGGAATGTTTGATCATGTAGAATGTATGATCAAATTGTGAAATGGAATGTCAAGGTATGTATCTTTAAGTAATAATTGTACATCCTACACAAAGGTCCTCGCAGCAAGTTATCTTAACCAATCAAAAAAAAGTAGGCTACAAGACCCTTGATACTTACAAGTCAATAAGTTCAAACTTTCAGTTGYGTAGTGAATGACAAATTATTTTTGCTAGCTAATGTAGGCTCTTCTTTGAACTTTACAAAAAAAGGCAATGAATTCTACTGAAAATTTGAACTTAATATCCAACAAGGGTTGTAAAAATATTACTCCATCATTAAATATCCTTTATTGATACATTGCGCTCTAAACATTCAAAAGAATAAAAAAAACCTTGTTTCTATTTTGCTCAKTGAATCAATTTTCTTTTTCTTTTGCATTTTATGATAATAAATGAATACTAATATTAATATTAAATATATTGAATGGTACATATAAAACCCAGCGTATGTAAACCCAATCTTTGTTTGTGAAACAGTGAACACCAAACAGAAAGAAGGTTTCTGTATTGCTTTCAAATATTGTTGCACTAAAAAACCTAATAAAAATTTGAATGAAATAGCAGAATAAAAATGAAATAGACCCAAAGAGCCAATGAGTAGCTGAGAAAGCCAAGCCAATCATCAAAGCCTAGAAAAACGACCTAAACTAAAAAAGTAAATAGACTTTGCTTGTTGGACCTGAAATTTAAAGCTGAAAGAAATGCTGCCGAAAGAAAAAAAKAAATTTGTATATTAGTTGATGTCTGTTTTAAAGAAGAGTTAAAAAAAACACAGTTACCTCCAGCTGTAGGTTGAACCTGAAATATCATACCATAAACCTAAACGTTCTACAATCTGTATCATGTAAGAACAGTTATCACAAAATTCATGATTTTTGATTTGCGAAGAATTTGTCCTTAATATCTTAAATTTTGAAAAAGAAAATTTTGATGCTTTATCATTTTTATTTCCYTGATGGCTTTTCTTGACGTTTGTGGGTTTTTGAAACTGGCAGAAAATAACTTATAACTTCATACTTTTAAGAAAATCAGATAGCACAAAAAATACTAAAATTACCTGATCTTCATTCAAATAGTTTGGTAAACCACCAATAAAAATCTTGTGAGCCGAATCTGGAACTACCGTTGAAACAACACCTATAAAAACAAAATGTTAAACATATGAACACCTATGATACACTAATTTCAACAAAGGAAGCGATATTTGGTCGTACCTGGTACATGGATTGATGCCGTTTCTGCCAAGAAAAAAACACTATTATTATTTTTTTTGCAAGTATATAAAACATGAAAAGCTGATCTTATATGTAAATGGATAGATAGTTTATAAGCAGTTATAACTTGTAGTCCTAACATTAAAATAAGAATGTTTTTAGAATCAAAAATAAAGTTTCTTCAAGAAGATATTTCACAAAAATCAACTTAAATTCAACATTATCATTATCATTACACATTTTATACCACTCATGTTATGAAACAGTTCTGTAAAGAATATGGTCTGATTGTTTCATTTCTCTTCCTCTCTCTGTACAGTATTAAACTACAAATGATACACATAACTACAGATATAATAATCACCTGACATTCCAGGAATTGGTTGGTAATCCTTTGGTCTTCTAATCTTTAATGCTTGTCCCTGGGTTATAACAAGATTTGAGATGCAAGGCATATTCTAATGTGTTATATTTCTCTGRCCATCTTTACATCAGAAAGATGTTATATTATAATTTAACTATAGTAAATGAAGCATGGATTGTAATTACCTGTAGAATGATACCATCAAATGCCATTGCTTGTGTTGTTTCTTCAACAGATCTTAGCTAATAAGGAATATTTTGTATTAATACCAGTATATTTACTAACAAAACAAGAATAAATGAATTAATTCTAGCTATTGSCATTGTATTTATATGCCAAATCTAGGATACAAACACTTCTATCACTATACACCCTTTTAATAAGTCCCGAGGTATTGTTTTTTCTCCGCACTTGACGTCAAATTTATTCTTTTGAAATTTTTACAATACAAAAGGAATTCAAAAGAATAAATTTGACGTCAAGTGCAGAGAACGTAATACCTCAGGACTTATTAAAAGGGTGTATATTACCATTCAAATTCAACTGACTTTCTTACCTCAATAAAAGCAAAGTTTTGTTCTGTGTTGATTTGTGCTGCTATGACAGGATTACCAGGTGCAGTGTTCAGCTTTGCCTCGTGCATTTTAGCATTGAAAAACTCTATCATCAGGTTCTGGAAATATAATAGTGACATTTCACATAAATTATGTATATGGATGTTATCTGTGATCCAACATTAACATAACATTGTGTGTTTTTTGTTTATACTCGCTTCAGATAATTCTGTCATGGGTACTCTCAGTTTTCTTACAAGTATTGCTTTTGGAAGCAGCTTTCAAAGAGAAATTAAATCTTKAAATCTTACCTGTAACTCCTGTTCCAAAGAAGAATTACATGAAAAAGAAAAATCATATGTTAGAAGGAAAATGAAACTGATGTATTTCTAATAAGATTAACTTGACAATGCATCATATTTTATGTTKTTCTTTTAGTAATATTACAAAAATAAATGAGTGTTTTAAAGAACTGTGATGCTTACCTCTGTGATTCCAAATGGAATGTTACCGACATAAAGTCGTCTGGCTTGTCTGGTCATCTGACTGTGAGGTAAACTAGCTAGTGTTGCTGCAGCTGCTGCCGCTGCACTCTGTGATATTCCTGCTGATGGTATTCCAGGCATGACTGCACTGGCAATCGGTACTCCACTTGGAAGGGTTGGTGCCATTGGTATGGCTCCAGACGCTAAGAYATAAACAAACAGTACAATTAAACACTCCTAAAATGGTAAAAAAAACATACAACATGCCAACTCATTCATAAGATATAGGCTACCAAATTAAAACCGATCAACCAACCTCTCATTTCTTTGTATTGCTTGGGTGTTATRTTTTCAAAACCAACTGGAGGGATATCCCATAATGTTTCTCTTTTTACTTTTGGAACTTCTCTTTTTGGCGATGGTGATCTAGTAAGACCATTAGATCATGGTTATCATATCAATCACTCTCAAACTCGATATCTATGCAGTGATACAACAATATCAACCAAAGATGAGTAATACCTGTATCTGTCTCGACGTGTTCTCTCTCTGCTTCGATCACGGCGTGGTCTTTCTCTACTCCGACTGCGATCTCTTCTTCTTCGATCTCCTCTATCACCTCTATCTCTTCTATCTCTGTCTCTATCGCGTCCCCGATCACGGTCTCTGCCTCTGTCTCTCCCTTCTGAGAATTATCGAACACGAATTTTTGGTTGGTTTTGGTTAAAATAAACAGATAAATTCGAGAAAAAGAAAACACAATTCTTGAAAAAGCTTACGAGTACACAAAACATAAACAAATATCTACTTAATTCAACATATTTCAGACTTGCCGGCACACAATCAAAGTTTAAGAAAGATTGATCAAGAACACAAATGCCTTACCGTCCTCACGTTCTCTACCGTTTTCCGCAGTTTTTCGAAGACTACTTATTTTAGCACCAATGTCATCTTCTTCCTTGAAGCTCTGACTYTCATAAGTAGTCATAATTGACAGTTTTGGGGTCTAAAAAGGACTACTWTTCGTTTAAATCTTCAACTTTTCATTCAACATGGACGCCAAAACTCGTGCTCCCGCTAACATAGAAGCGAGGTYACACATTAGAACCCAGGACCGACTGTTTATTAAACACAGGATACCCGTCGTTTAACGTCATCACCGAAAAGCCTAAACCTTGATTTTTTTTTAAAATATGAATAGCAAAGTTTATTTGATGTTTGCTATGCAGCTGGAATATCGAATTCGATATTTTTCGATAATTTTTCAGGATTGTGAAAACTAACACTGAAGGGTACAACCATATGGGTATGCCGCCAACCTAGGTGCGAGAAAAGCCATTGTACGGGAGATACAGAACGAGCGGAAAACGGACTTTGCGAAAGTCTACAAAAGCCAATATTACATCACAACTATTATTCGATTATATAAAATATCTTTACTTCATAAAAAGTCTCTATAAATATGATTCTTACAGTATAAAATTGTCAGTGYATGTTTCATATTCAAATCATCATGTTCATCTTACTCGCATGATTCAATAAGTCGGTTAGTTCRCTCTAGAGTAACATGAGCGGTAAGCTCCGACTTATAGAACCAGTCTGCCTTCTATCTGTTTATGACATTGTCTGTCTGTCTTCACTGCTGTTCATTCGCGCGCGCGACGTTAACGTGWAGAGCATCTCTATATATACTCTCTGTGCATCTGGTAGAAGAAAAACTCTTGATCCTCGATTCAGATTAGTTTTGATATTAACAACTTGATGCTGTGATCTTCATGGCGACGTGAATGTCTGACTTTGCAACAAGAAATGAAAGATGTATACCAGCTTGACGAATCTCTTGCATGGCACTGAAATAAACAGAGAAAAACGATTTCAGGTAATCATCGTGGCTTGTCATGGATTAATTGCCGCATACTCAAAGACAGACATCTAGAACGCGTGACATCTTCAAAACCATGAAAATACCATGGATTCGTTGCAGTGAAAAAGTGTTCTTGTATTACAGTCTAGTCACCTTTGATAATCCGCCCCAACTAAACTTGTGCCATTCACTGCCAGGATACGATCACCTAACCTTAGACGTCCATCCTGTGAAACAAAGTACACTCGATGAATGTTTGAAGCACAATCACTGTTTCATCAAAATTTCCTGARCTAACCTGATCAGCCGCTCCTCCTTCCACTAAGGTTCGTACATAAATACCAGGGGATCTTAGAGGTGTGTACTGAAAAGAGAGCGCAATGTAAGCCCATTCTGTCTATTGGATATCAACGTAATCAATGTAACATGAAGGCTGTTCATACCAATCCATCAATCAATCCAAGACCAATTCCTGAGTCACTTTTCTGTAATTCCACTATAAATACGTCATCCTGTCCATCCTGKCCATCACGCATGCCCTCTAGCATTCGATGAGATCTATTTCCTGCTTCATGAGTCATTTCGTTTCTTTTGAGTTGGTTCATGAATGCAAGTTTGTCGACAGTAGAATCGTCAACCTGTCAATCATTATTTACCGGTTATGAATAAATTAGAATAAAAGAAAAGCCAAAGACTTACGTCCAAAGCATGGTCGTCGTGCYCGTTTTCTTCAATGACAGGAACAACAGACAAGCCATCAAGCGATTCCATCTTCCCYATCGAATCTTTGACTTCAACCCACTTGTCTCGTTCGGTATTATAGGAGTTGCTCTCTTTCCTTCCACCAGACGACTTTGAGAAAGTTTGATTGTCAACCCGAGGYGTGGTCCCTATACTTGAAAAACTTGAGGYRGATGAACCAGCTGAACTASTTCTTCCAAGTAAAGCCTCCCGCGCTGATTCAGAAGGACGAGACGMGACATGTTCTTGGGTTCCTTCTAAGGGAGATCCACCTTGATGTCGTGAATCCAGAGCCTTTTCGAAAGCCTCTTCTTTTCTGTGCCCTCTTGGAGTTGGCTGAGGGGATCTGGATTGAGGACTAGAGGAGTGCGTTGATGCCGCACTGCGTAGGTCGCGCTGACGTGGAATGGGCACTGGCCGATTTGCAGGGGTTATTACCTTGGGCGTGGTCCCTTGTTGACGATCAGTGGAGGTAGTAGGCTTAGTACTAACCCTTGGAGGCTTCTCAGGTCCTGGAAACCAAGTGTAAAAGTAGTTATTCGATCACGTCCGTACTGTCATTAAAAACTTCTGCTTTCTTTTAGTGTTTAAGGTTGATAGGGGACGTAGGTTGTTCGGCATAATTCTAGATACGGACATCTAATTTTTCATAAATTGGTTACCTGTAGTAGGTGTAGTAGACGAGACTGTCAATGGTTGTTGATCGTTTTCAGCAGTTTTCGGAGTTGGCGGCGGGGAGACTGTGACTGATGGTACATCATCCAAGTCATCTAGAGTAGCTGAAACCTGTAATGTATCACTGCTGGCTGTTGTGACCTGGGGCTCAACAGGTTGGGTTATCCTAGGAGAGAAAGTTTAATTTATGAAATAAAATGGAAATAGAAGMCTTTGCGTCTTAATCCAGTCATGGCTTACTTAGGTGATGGTTTGATGTCTCTAGCTTTGCTCAGTCCTGAAACTAGAAAGAATGAAATGCTTACAGATCATGAAAACTACTATCAAAATAACTATCTATCATAACTTACCTGAACCACAAGAACTTCTCACCATCATCAAATACTGGTAAAAGTTTTCACTGTCTGGCCCATGGTCCATATCGAAAACAAAACCCGACGATGGCAGYGACAGAGGTGGATGTTCCGAAAAACTTAGCAAAACATCAGCTAAAATCGACAGAAAAAAGCGTTTTAAACTAAGTGAATCTCCTAATGCACACTACAATAATAACAAAAATAAATCAAGAACAATACCTGTACGTAGTGCAGGCTCTACCTCTTCAGGGGGAGGAAACCAGCCACGTGGCCTTGATTTTCCAGCACCAAGTTGGTACTCGCCGAGAATTTGTTGAACCTGAGCAGCATTAAGAGCTGGAAAATCTCGACGAATAGTGTTCCAATCCGCCTGAACACATGGTAGAAAGAACAAAATTACTTGAATAGAGTAAAGGAAAAACTTACCAGCATGGAAATGGTCAATGGATTGATGAGCAAATCGACAGAATAAAGAATGGAAAGAGTGAAGAAAAACGGATCATGTAGGCATTCTCCTTCATCATACCTGCAATAGCTGTACTTTGGGTGTGGCTAGTAAGTCCGCTGCTGTGGACAACCGTGTGAGATAATGTACATACTCATCTTGTAGTTCTACCTGTGATGCCCAACCTTCCAAAGCGTCCAAGTTGCCCCGTATTTGTGCCCCTTTAGCCCATCGATAAAATTTCCCACCAGCTCCTCGTTCCATCAGRGTGTTGAAGAGGGAAGCGTTTGTGAAGAAGAAAAGATAAGCAAACAACTGGTGGACAATTTCTTTGTGCACRTTGTATTTACATAGAACTGTGTACGTCTGGTGGAAGATGTTGGTCACGATATCTATTTCTTGTGGTCGCTTGCCATCGTTCGTGTCATCGTCGTCGTATTGAAAGGGATTGGTATCGAGAATAACGGGAAGAGCAACATACAAAACCTATCACCAAAACAATGTTGACTTATAACAGATATCCATATAATATTCAAATCGCTTTAGATAAAGTATAGTTTTACCTTAGTTAAATGATACACAGTCTGTTGAAAGGTGTACATGACGACTTCCTCAAGACAAGCAATAAGTTCTTCGTCTGCATTGGTCAAAGAATCATCCAGGTGTCTTTTGGCAGCGTCACCAAGGTAACGTGACATGTTATTTTGTAAATAATGATGCATCTCAAGGCAGTTTGCCATCCAGAAGATTACAGGGTTGAGTTGAGGTAATAAGTCATTCATGGCTTTGTCAGGAGGGGTGTCCCTATAGGGAAAGGACTGTTTAATGCTTTGTCAGGGGGGTATCACTATAGGGAAAGGAATGTTTAATGCTTTGTCATGGGGGATGAAAGGAATGTTTAATGCTTTGTCAGGGGGGGGTATCACTATATGGAAAGGAATGTTTAATGCTTTGTTAGGGGGGATATCCCTATAGGGAAAAGAATGTTTAATATGAACAGGAAGCAGTTTTAACGAATAGTCTAAAATCACTTACTTTTCAATAGTATTTGACATTTCTGATGTTTTATCCTGCAAAACAAAGGGAAGTGAGGTCAAATAGAATGGAAGTTACAGTCCAGTAAATACGAGGCATTTTGATTGATATGGTGTTTGGAATCATGTGACACGTTATTTACTTACCCATGCTACACTTTGTATYGAGTTGGATATCTTCATCATCAGTTGTCTAGTTTGGTTTTCTGTGTGGTACTTCACTGAATGCTCAATACACATCACTAACATGTAAGATGGTGTTAATTCGTAGATATCTCTTGTCTCCGTAACATTCATTATCATATCTAACAATCTATCCTCGTCTTCGGGTGCGTAAGCTAGTCGTAGCTGTCTACCTTCGGGTTCAACGAAGGAGTTGTCGGAAACAATCGTATCAGTTTCGGAAACACTTCGGGTAAAATTTCTGGACATTTCGTGGAATCGTTGTAGTGCTGTCATCCAATGAAGCTGAAGGGAACTATCAAGGACTTGAGTAGGGTCYTTAAACATAAATACATAGTGGTCCCCTACAGARATAAGGTCCCCAGGGCTCATTTTGATAGTTGATGTAATAGGTACACCATTGAYTTTCACAAGMGCATTCTTATTGGGCTCCAAACACACCACAAAGTTAACGTCACATTCTTCCTCTAGATCCAGGTCCCCCTCGGTCTCGACCTTTTTACTCATSACACAGTGATGGGGCAGTACATCCGGTGAAAACAAATTTATATCGGGATTATGATCAGTATGCTCGTCACCATAGGCAACCGTACCGGGGGCGTTGGCATGACGACCAAGTAGTGCTATCGTTTCGTCCAGTCGGTGATACAGAAAGTCATCAGCGATCGMGTAACCACGGATTAACAGCAAGTAAGGAGTGTCTGTCGGAGGAAGAAATGGAGATAAGATCACGGAGTTTCGGTTAGAAGTTGTACYCTCRTCAGTTCCAAAGCTTTCATGATGGGCGGGAAGAGCCATGCTTGTTTTAGGGYTGCGAGCCYCCTTAATCAAAGGAGGTARTTTRACCTCGCGTACCGAAGCAGCTTTGACAACTGCAACGCTACCTCGAACTTGAAAAAAACTTGAGTCKAGAGTTTCAATTTTTTTCCTGAGTTCAAATCGTCTGGAGAATCCCGTGATTGGTTTCCATAACTGTTGAAGCACCAAAGGTTTTTCTTTGTCTCCTATAACACGAGAATATTCCGTAATCCAACTCTCTGAGTCCGGTTCCTGAGTCTCTTGTAACTTATCTTTGTCAGTATTCGTAAAGTAACCGACAACATCGCACAATACGTAGTCCTTGGCGTCAAAATGATCCAGTTTATACCTATCTAAAGCCTCTTTCACGATCTCCTCAGCGTTTGTAAGCTCAGTTGCTCGAACACTCTTGTAGTTTGCCCCAGGTGACACATGTCCTCCAAAAACCTTTAACACTCCTGGCGCAAGATGATTGGTTGAGAGTTCAACAGTTTTCTTGGACGCACCACTCTTCTTTAGCTTTAGTAACGATCCAAACGATCTTTTTCTCTGCCGCTTTCCATGCCGAGCTGTTTTTGAATGGTGAGCACTTCGGTCTTGTGTWGGTGAAGTGATTCCRTCAAAAAACATACCAAAAGCTGCACGAGGAGACTGCATACCTTTAAAAATATTCCTACTTTTATCACTCCCTGCACTAGAAGGCCTGTCATTCAGTTTCGCCGTATGATATTTTCTTGCTGATAATGGAGTCCCTGAAGTCCCTTTGGTAGGCGAAAACCTACYAAGGGGAGATCCCACTGTAGGTGTTGATCCGCTATTCGAGCTTCCATCACTACCACCACTGCGCACGCTCGCCAACGAAGAATTCAGTGATTCGTGTTGCTTAGCTACACCATTTGGTTGGGATGGAGACGTCGATTGATGTTGTGGCTTGTCATATTCAAGACGAAGGACAAACCTTGGTGGCTGCCTGGCATTGAGTGCTATRTCCAGAGGGTTATCAGATGGATCCAGACAGATTTCGTCCGCTGAACATAACAAAAATTAAACTAAATTTAGCAAAAAATCAAATTCGAAATAGACCTCTGCAGCTTTTACGTCATGTACCGTATACGCAATGCATTGTAGGATATGYTTGGGACAGAACATGGCGGATTTCTTTTGTTTTCTCTTGAAACTGATCCCACAATGCATTGAAAATCAAGTAGTGACGTAAAAGATTCAGAAGTCTATATAAGGACCTAAACTACGTCAAAAAATCATGGACTTTATATGAAGAAATTTACTCAACTATATTTCACATTACGGTGTAATGAATTACTTGTCGGAAAAAAGTAATTTTGACATAAGAGCATTACTTCGCATTTGATCGTATACGACGTATATTTTCTCGATTGATGTTTCAGACGTAGGAGCAGTCTTTGTTAATGTTGAAACGTTACCATGGAAACATCGATTAAGCCCCCCTACCCATCCACACTTAGTATGCACATGACTTTCCTCAAGGCTATCAAAAGATTTGGTGAAGAGACATCCCAGTAAAGGTGTGATGAAGGTTTGAGACAGAATTCGGGCTAATCAAATTTACAGCTCCAAATCACAATACAACTTCGTCAATGGCGTCTGCTTTGCAGGCTTTGTATTTCTRTGTTCTTACCGCGCATTCACAAAAGAATGCGTAAAACAGCAAGTTTTAGTGTGAATGTTAACAGATATGTACATGGGATTACATGATAATCTCCATTTGTCATATGTGTTTCGTGTTTGTATTGCTTGGGACATCCTTTATTTTGCATAATGGAGTGGTTACGGGAACGTAACGTTTTGAGAGGACTCTCARYACCATTAGGTTATTTTTGAAGCATTTTGTTAAAGGCAGCCYTGTTATCGGTTCTTTTGTATGTGAAATGAAAGGTTGTCTTTCGGCTTACGGTAATTGAATAATTAAACTTCTTTTCTTTCTTGACAAGTTAAACTTGAGCGGCGCCAGCAAAGAAAAAAAAAATTCTTAAAACGATACGAATTTCAATAAACGCGATTTCAYGTTGCCAGAATATATGAATTGGATGTTTACATAAGTAAAGATTTCGAGAAAAAATAAATCAACTTTCTTCTACACGATCCATTCCTAGGGCTCGTTTCCCAGGCATTCAGTYCTTGAAACATGAGAAAGTAAAAAACGAACAGAGACAAAAATATAGATAAGTGAAGAGAAAATAAGGGAGTTTTCGACTTCTTTTTCATATTTCATGGATCAATAATTTATTGAAAGGTTCGTGAGCCAGGATTGATGTAAAAACAATGTAATTACCATAACCTTTAGTACGACTGATTGTTCGAGATCGAAAACCATGAAATGGCTGCTTTGTGTTTGATTTAAACACAAACTTCACACTACCAGATGACGAAAAATAAGACCGGCAAAATGTAATAATAAACATCTAATATTTTAGAAAAGAAAAAAAATAATGGCAATACAACATCAACATGTAAATTTGAGTCCACAAAGTTTTGGATTGATAATTAAACTCGAAAGTTTACTGTTTTGCAAACTGTCTAAACTTCCTTTAAAGCGGAAAAGCACTTGACCGGAAGGTAACAGTTGCTGTGCTTTGATGCCCATAAAAGTTTAAAAAGTCATTTGCAACCAAAATATAGACACAGTTATACAGATGTTGTGCCTTTCAGAAAAAAAAAATCARGTTCAAGCGATTGAAGAAAACCCAGCTAGTAACGAATGAATACAAGTGAGGGAATGATTCATAAACAAAATAAACACTCCAACAGAGATATGAAAAGAATGAAACTTTGGTAAACAAGACAACGAATATGTCGACTATGAATTTTAATCAACCGCTTCYAACGCTTTACGCAAAACAGTGTGTATTAATGTTTATATGCGTGTATCATTTATACAAGTGAAGTACCAGTTAACATTCCTGATAATAAAACAAAACTCACCTTCTCTTTCTTTATCTGTAAATTCATCATGTATTTCATACAGCTTTGCCTTTCTAACCAACGTAGTTTGGTCTAAGTCTGGTTTAAACTTCTCTATCAGGGTCGGTAGAAGTTCCGASACTAGAGTACGATTATTTAACCTCACAGCTTTAGTAAGCTTTTCGTTGCCATCTTCAAAATAAAAGCGTAACGCTCCCTCGAAGTTTAAGTCCTAGTAACCAGCAATAAATCATCACAACGAAATGCTAATTGATTTAGATTAAGTGCWCGTTAGAAATTGATTTTCAACTAAGTTAAGTGAAAATCTTTTTAGCTGTGTTTTGCCGAGTGAGTCTAGTTCTTTCTTACTCAACCRTAACACAAAAAGTTTATCAAGTGTTGTGAAGTACAATAACATTGTAGTTGTTACAATACAAATATTCTTATCAGATCGAACCACCAGAAAAGCCTGACAAATATTATATGAAAACATTTCTATCTACCAACAACTCAGGCTGTTATAAAGATATTCAATTAGTGAGATTAACTTTAAGATATGAAAACTTYACTAACCTCTTTAAGTGYAAGACGAAAAGCTCCGAGTTGRTTACGCTTATTGTAGCTTGCGATTTTGTCGGCAAGTTCTCGTCTATTAGCAGCCATCTCACTCTCTGCGTCGTCGTCATTCTTTTCCAGACTTTGCGCTTCTTCGGCTACGATTCGAAGATGTTCAAGTATTCGTGGATCGGACAAGATGTTTGAAGAAGAACGCTTTGAAAACAATCCTTCGAGKTCGGCTGCATTAACAGCGTCTTCATCCATAATTTACCAGAAGATACGAGACAAATATCATGTCTAGATGCAATATTACTAKCCCCTCATTCCACTAGATGTGTGTTGTTTCTACTACAGACCGATGATTAAGCGATCGATCGTTTTCACAGTGTATTTGTAATAAATGCTTGTGATTGGTCGAAACTAGACAAAAAGGGTCAAAAGTACCGGAATCTGATTGGGCCCTTATAGCCTCCGTAGCAGACGTTCCAAGCGGTTCGATTCTCTCCCGCAGAAAATCGAACCGCTTGGAACGTCTGCTACGGAGGCTAGGGCCCTTATGAGTCTTGCAAAATATAGATAAATTGATATCGCTTAGACTCAAAAAACAACTATTTCACTGGAGTTGATTCGGCAGTGTAAGTGCAAAATGAATAAATTTAAAAACTTACTAAAGAAAATAATGCGAAGGGCACTAAAATGGCGCGAACTTTTGGCGGGAAATTTGCATGACGGATTAGTTTGGAGAACGTAGCTAATTTACTTGTTATTTTTCCTTTTAAAATATTTATTTGTTTATAAAAAAAACATGTACGAAAATTTAATTTTTCCCAAAGGGGGAGGAATGGGGGAGGGGGAGTGACAAGGGGTTATAAATTCGGTTAGGCACGCCCTTTTTTCAAGACTTCCAGGATCTTTTAGAGGTCTTTTTGAAACTTTTTGACGAGCATTACTGTACTTTTATCCAAGAGCACCTCCCATCCTGGGGGGGGGGGGGGGGGGRGGGGGTAGGTTAATTCACTAAATATATACAGTAAAGACGGTAAAACAGTAGGGATCAGTAAGACCAGTAAACAGAGTAATGTCGTTCACGAGTTTTAAACTATTTAAAGTCATTCCTGGATGGACACGGTTGAGTTATTTGATATCCAGTTACAGGACAAGTTCATTAGAGGAGTTTACGCTTGACGATGAAAGATACTAAGAGGCGATGGGGAAAGTGACATGTTTTTCGCTATATTTCCATTCTGAGGCTGATTCTGAGGTAAATTTGCGGAAACTATAACTTTTATAGTTGATGGAGAAACCTTTATTCTACTGATATATTGTGGTGTTCTCGAGACAATTTAGCCACATATGACACTGATAATTAAAAGGACGGAGGCAGTAGATTTGSAAGTTTTACAGACTTGATGGAAATAGCTCAATTTAATCATTGAAAAAATGCATTGCCCCAGAAAGAATGACCAGATCGGCTCTACAACAAAACTTTGAACAGTTGATTACCAATCTACAGAAAAAAAATGGTTTGGAATGTAAAATCAGTGAAAAGCTTTTTTTATCAGGTCAACAGACTTGTGTTCACCTAAAGTAATGGGTATTCGACCTTTGTGGCGTTAATTCAAATGCCGCCCCATCATTTATTCTATAGAAACCAACGATGACCTTGACAAAGCCAGCCATGTCTGGACAACAATGTGCATCGGAGCGTGACTCAAACAGTGACCGAGCGTGACTCAAACAGTGACCGAGCGTGACTCAAACAGTGACCAGTTTAAAGACCCAAAAAACTTGTTGGACAGTAATCAATCAATCAATCAAGTTTATTTCACCAGAAAATTCTGTAACTTGTGTTTTACACAATGTTTAAATGCTTTCCGCTRCTTTGGTCTGGTTGATTTTTCGAAAAGTATTTTTTCAGCTTTTTAAGTAATGCCCCGAGTAAGAACTAGGGAAGCAAACGGCAAAGGAATGCAAAAAAGAAGGTGCTAATTGTGCATTGTATAATCCATCCATCCCATTGGTTAAAACATGAAAATCTGCTATAATTTCACAAGTTA